CGCTCCCTGGGGCCCAGCGCCCCCTGCCGGGCCCCCGCCCCGCTCCCTGGGGCCCAGCGCCCCGCTCTCCAGGCACCCGCCGCCCCCTGCTGGGCTCCTGCCCCCCCCCCTGCAGCCCAGCGCCCCCTGCTGGGCCCCCGCCCCGCTCCCTGGGGCCCAGCGCCCCCTGCCGGGCCCCCGCCCCGCTCCCTGGGGCCCAGCGCCCCGCTCTCCAGGCAGGGGAAGTTCTCACACAGGACGTTGAGCTTGTGGAAGGTGTTGACGGTCTCTGCCAGGATGGAGCTGTGAGCCTGGCACGTCACCCGCCGCCCGTTGTCCGAGGATGACACTACCAGGGTCACCTTCCCCGAGGTGGAGAGCCCCCCGAACTCTGCTGGCTTCCGCCCCAGATCCACCCCCTTCAGCCTGCAAGAGCAGCACAAGATGGGAGAGCAGGGCTGTGGGTTGGGAATGAGGAGCCCTGGCAGGGGCGGGTGGGGCAGCCTCTTACTTCTCTGCATCCTTGAACCAGGCCAGGGTGGCAAAGGGGTTGCTGCTCCCGGTGGTGCAGGTCAGGGTCAGCGCCTGGCCTCGTCGCACCTCCTTGGCGGTGGTCGTGATCTTCACGTCGATCGGGGGAACTGGGCGGTGGGAGGGGAGCAAAGGGGCAGAACTGAGCTGGGTGCATGACTGCCACCACCCAAGGGGGGCTGTGCCTTTAAGGGGCGGGGTTACTTGGCTCCGCCTTGTGCACACGCTGCCCCCCCCCGGTGGCCGGGGGGGTAATGCACATGCCACCCTGCCCCCGGGCCTGGGGACGCACACTGGATGTGGAGGAGGGGCTGGGCGGTGAGCGCTGGGCTCTTGGCGTCGTTGGAGGCGTTGCAGCGATAGGTGGCCCGGTTGTCGCTGGGGCTGGAGCTCAGGATCAGCTCTTTGGAGACAATCTTGCCCGAGGCCACCTGGGTCCCCTCCCTGAGGGACTTGGTATCCTGTCGGGAGAGCCCAGAGCCCAGTGAGCGACCAGAGATGTGGAGAAGGGGGACTGGATTCACTTGGCTGTGCTGCATGTGAGTGCTACTGTCCTGTTGTAGCCCGTGTGTGCCTCAGTTGGGCTGGAGCTCAGGATCAGCTCTTTGGAGACAATCTTGCCCGAGGCCACCTGGGTCCCCTCCCTGAGGGACTTGGTATCCTGTCGGGAGAGCCCAGAGCCCAGTGAGCGACCAGAGATGTGGAGAAGGGGGACTGGATTCACTTGGCTGTGCTGCATGTGAGTGCTACTGTCCTGTTGTAGCCCGTGTGTGCCTCAGTTTCCCTGGGTACTGCACTAGTACCTAGATGGGGGAAGCTACCCTAGCCCAGTGCGTATGGCCAAGGCCTCTGTAACCGGCCAAGTGACACCTTTGGTCTGGGAAGGGGAACACAGGGCAGGTGGGCTGGCTGCAGGGTTGGACCAGGCTGGTAGGGGTCTGGTTAGTCTTGGGTAGTTTGAGGGGCAGGGGCCTTGGCTCTGAGCCTCTCTCCCTAAGCTGGGCTGTGCTGGCTGCTCCTGGTTCCTGGGCTGACAAGTCTGCTCCATGCTGTGTCCCTGGGAATCCATGAACCTTCTGTCCTGCCTGCTGGCTGGGAGTCATGTCTGGCTGTGGGTGGGGGTGCAGGGCCCGGAGACTCCCCCACCCCTTGGTGACAGAGGCAGCCACTTCT